TGAAATATGTTATTATTAATACTTTCCTACACTTATGGGCCACTAGTTCAAACTATCTAGTCTTGGAAAATCTAATCATTAATATACCTACCTACACTGGTGGGCCACTATTAAAATCTTATTCAACCTTACTATACCTTATTATAAATACCTACCTACACTGGTGGGCCACTATTACAAACTATCTAGTCTTGAAATATCTTATTATTAATACCTACCTACACTGGTGGGCCACTATTACAAACTATTATTTAACAATCTACCGGTTTTCGGTTCTTAACGAACCTTCATCAGGATAAATATTTTACAAAATTTTTGAGCTAAAGTGTACAATTAAAAACAGTAAAATGAATTCTAAAAGCAAATTAAGTGTTATAAAGTGTTTAAATAAAAGTAGGCTTATAAATAGTGACTAATTATCTATATCTATTAAGAACTGGTAAGAGTCTTATCGGGTACTATATATGACATTTATTTCCTATCAATTCTAAAATAACTTTGAATTAACAAGCCACTGAAGAACAAGTGCAATTTGCTCCAGGCAGCTCCTGATTGCTTTGTCACTGCAAAAGAATAATTCTGTTTCTGTTATGTATGGAGGGTGATTTATGCCAAAATTACATCTTGCTTTCTTACGTTACATCGTGCTTTCTAACTTGTACATCGTGCTTTCTAACTTGTACATTATGCATTCTGACATATACATCTTGCATTCTGACTTTTACATGTTGCTTTCTTACATGCACATTATGCTTTCTGTGACTTGCTTACTTTAATGTTGATGTCGTTTTTTAACGATCAATTATTATTCTTTTGTTGATCTGGTATATTAATTCAATAAATTAACCTGCAACTGTTTGTATTTGGGTCTATTTACTCAGCTTGAATGACGAATGTCATAAGGTAGAATGCGCATAGCCGAAAGCCGAATGCAGCAAGCATAATACAACGCGACATCTGGTGTAATAATATGTGACACCCAAATTATGCTAACAGGTGGCGCTACAGTTATATTCTCGGTAAAGTCCGTATTGCGGTTCGGAATCAGTTTACCAAGTTACGTCCCTTTGTTTTAAAATTTCCATTTGCACTCATGGAGAAAATATACAAAACGATTTAACCAATATTTATATTTATTAATGAAACTCTGTAGGTCAAATTATATTTCCAGCTGACAATGACAAGTTTCACATTTCCAAATCAATGGTTTTAGAATTTTTTTTTTCATCAACAAAATAATTATAAAGCCTCAGTCTCACTTACTCCCGGCAGAGCCCAGGACCATCCCGGTAAGTTACCGGGATGATCCGGGACGATCCGGGATGAAATTATTGTTGCGGTCACACTTACCCCGGCAGCACTACGGTAGTTCCCTACTAACCACCCAGGATGCGCTCCGGATCATCCAGGCAGAGCCCAGGTGAAGCTACGGTTCATGCCGGTGCTTCCCCGGATGACCCCGGAAGAGCCCCGGTTGACCCAGGCAGAGCCCCGGTCGATCCAGGCAGAGTCCCGGCAGAGCCCAGGACGATCCAGGCAGAGCCCCAGTAGAACCCCGGTGGATTGAAAACGCCCGAAAATGATAACATTGATACATAATTTTTATTTAATATAATATATATTGTTCCAGAATAGTAATTCATAATGATTTTCTGAAAAATCCTTATGCCATACTGGATAGAAGGGAAATGGGAAGGCTTTTAATACAAGCAAGTTCAATCATCGCAAATTGTCGTTATTCTTTTGAAATGATCCGGGCTTTGCCGGGGCTCTACCGGGATCAACCGTAGCTCTACCTTTATCCTCCGGGGCTCTGCCTGTAGTTACCGGGGCTCTGCCGGCATATACCGGGGCTCTACCGTAGCTCTACCGGCTATATCATACCCCGGATCATCCCCGGTTTGTGCCGGCAGAGCTACGGTGCTATCCCGGTATAATCCCGGTCGTTCCCGGCAGAGCTAAGGATGAAGCCGGCAAAGCTATACCTTCCCGGATCATCCCGGACCACCCCGGTGATATTAAATATTTTATTCCATCCGGGGTCGAGTCCCGGATGTTCCCGGATCATCCCGGATCATCCAGGACGTTGCCGGCAGAGTTACGGATGTACCCCGGTTGTTCCCGGTAGTACCCCGGTCGTTCCCGGATCACCCCGGACGTCTACCGGGGCTCTGCCGGGGCTCTACCGGGATGTAAGTGAGACTGTAGCTTTAAAATAGAACAGTTGTTCAACATTGTTCAAAGTGCTTGGGCCATAAAAAACTTCTTATTAAAATATTTCATCCTCTTGAAAAGTTCTTAAATTTTGACATGGCTTATTTCCAATACCTGTGACCATCCACAACATTTTTAATGTGTTTTTATTAATTAGGACATTTTCTTGCCTATTTTCAAACTAATTTTGTACACACGTTAGATTTTTTAAATTCAACTTGTCAAAAAAAATGTCTTTTTTCCCCCCACTAAGTTGCTTTATGAATACGGCCCAGGTTCTTGTTCACAGTGTCAGCTTAAAACTGAAGGAACTGCTGCCAAAATTAGCTGATTCTGAGAAAAAAAAAATGTCAAAACTGTCTAGTCTGTCAGACTGGACAGTTTTCCCTTTTTTTTTCTTTTGCAGCGGCACGGGCTACCTCTCTTCATTTGAATTTTTATATCACAGGTACCCTATCATTTTTTAACACATACGTACCCACAAGGCACGACATATGCTTTTATTTGCGTTAATCGTTAAGTATGTAATATTTACATAAAAGTAAGAAATATTACATACCTATTTAACGATTAACGCAAATAAAAGCATATGTTGTGCCATGAGGGTACGCTGCAAAACCGAAAGTAGGGTGTTTTTATGAATTTTACATTTATTTTTGACAATATACTGCCATTTGTCCGAAGAACATATTAAATATGTATGATGCATATATAATCAAGCCCACGGTTCATTGCAGCCCGAAAAGTATGTCGAGGTGATGGGCGAGGCAAGACATGTCGCTTTTTTGTAGCTTATTGTGAAGTTGCAGTACATGAAAAACGGGCACATGACAAATCAGCACACAAATAAAACATTCTAGTGTTCCGTGGTATATATCTTTTGTACGTGTCAAACCCCCTTTCCTTATTACATTGAAATTTTACTGGATTGTTATCCATCGCTGGTTTGTTTTTAGCAGAGAATGACCTGTGCATGTGTAAAGAGGGTACCGTTTGAGCAGATTTCGCAAAGAGGGCACCGATATAGATATGCACCGTGGTGTAGCTTTAGGACGAATGATTCATAATATTAATTGATGAGTACATAAAAACAAAATGTACAAAAATGGTCCCAAGAAATGGTTATAAAATGAATATTGCATGTTTGGCTAAAGATGCCTTTTTAATAGTTTTCTTTAATTATAGCGTTCATGATATTGGAAATGTATAGCAGATCTTACTCATTTAAAACAAAAAAGTTTTAAACCTTAAAGCAATAGTATTTGCAATACAAACATCACAGAGAATGTAGAAAAAATGTTTATTAATATCTTCTATGACAAACAATTCATTTGATTTTATAACCATTTCTTGGGACATTTTTTGTACATTTTGTTTTTATGTACTCATCAATTAATATTATGAAATCATTCGTCCTAAAGCTAAACTCTCACAGATTGACAGACTAGACAGTTTTGCATTTTTTTCTTTTTTTCTCAGAATCAGCTGATTTTGGCAGCAGTTCCTTCAGTTTTAAGCTGACAATGTGAACAAGAACCTGGGACCGTATTCATAAAGCATCTTAGTGAATAATTTCAACTTAGTGAAAAAAGACATTTTTTTGACAAGTTGAATTTAAAAAATCTAACGTGTGTACAAAATTAGTTTGAAAATAGGCAAGAAAATGTCCTAATTAATAAAAACATATTAAAAATGTTGTGGAAGGTCACAGGTATGGAAATAAGCCATGTCAAAATTTAAGAACTTTTCAGGAGGATGAAATGTTTTAATAAGAAGTTTTTATGGCCAAAGCACTTTGAACAATGTTGAACAACTGTTCTATTTTATAATTATTTTGTTGATGAATAAATATAAATTCTTAAACCATTGATTTGGAAATGTGCAACTTGTCATTGTCAGATGGAAATATAATTTGACCTACAGAGTTTCATTAATAAATATAAAAATTGGTTAAATCGTTTTGTATATTTCCTCCATGAGTGCAAATGGAAATTTTAAAACAAAGGGACGTAACTTGGTAAACTGAATCCGAACCGCAATACGAACTTTACCGAGAATATAACTGTACATAGCGCCACCTGTTAGCATAATTTGGGTGTCACATATTATTACACCAGATGTCGCGTTGTATATTATGCTTGCTGCATTCGGCTTTCGGCTATGCGCATTCTACCTTATGACATTCTTCATTCAAGCTGAGTAAATAGACCCAAATACAAACAGTTGCAGGTTAATTTATTGAATTAATATACCAGATCAACAAATGAATAATAATTGATCGTTAAATAACGACATCAACATAAAATTAAGCAAGTCGCACACAGCAGAAAGCATATTGTGCATGTAAGAAAGCAACATGTAAAAGTCAGAATGCAAGATGTATATGTCAGAATGCATAATGTACAAGTTAGAAAGCACAATGTACAAGTTAGAAAGCACAATGTACAAGTTAGAAAGCACAATGTACAAGTTAGAAAGCACGATGTAACGTCAGAAAGCAAGATGTAATTTTGGCATAAATAACCCTCCATAGTTATGAGCTGCTATTCTCCTAACAGCTTGTTACTTTCGACTGTCTAGTTATGGTTATATATCTTCTGAACCATGAAAGCTGAAGGAATGAAACTTACTAATAAAACAGTTAATGTTGATCTACACAAACACGCGAACGGTTTTTATTTAAAAAAATAGTATATTTTAATCTTTAAATAAATTCAAGAAAGATTATGACATAATAATTTTAGGGATTACAACACTACTGTAGGTCGGCAACAAATTTATTATGACGTGTCTCTCACACAAGACTCCGTGTAAACACTGACGACAACTTCCGGTTATTTTAATATTAAAATATTTTATATTTTACTTTCTCAACAACAAGAAAAACAATTATATGAAGTACGAAAGCAAAGATTTACATATTATCGTCACAACTTATTTGATTATATAACAAGACATACTTTAAAACATTTGAAACTCAAAGGTATGTTATGATATGTTTTCGGATATGATATTTTCCGGATGAAATTTTTTGAAATTGCATTTTTTCTTCAAATTTGTGTTCCATCTATCATTTTATTGCTAATACAAATTGATTTAATTTTATAAAATTGATTTTATTTTATACTTTTAGAATGGAGAGGGGTAGAACATATGTGTCATATCAGCGGAATCCAGGCTTCTGTGACAGAGTTGGAAGTAGCCTTGTGGGAATTCTGGTTGGACTTGTACTGTTAGTGGCTGGGTCATGTTTATTATTTTGGAATGAGGTACAGTAAAAAAAGTTGTTTTGAGAAACTCTAAGAAGGAATTTGATAAAAAAAATTGATAAAAAACCTTGTATGATTTTTAATGATTCTGATTGTTAAATTGAAAGTGAAAGTAGATTTTTTTATTTGTATAATAAGATGGATTGTGAACCATACATTCCTAGAATAAGGCAATCATGAATGACTCAGTTTATTTTACCCAGTAAAATGGTATGGAGAAGTCAAAGTAAAAAAAAAAAAAAAAAAAAACCTGAAAAAGTGGGGAAAAAACTTTTGAGCATACTGTTACAGAATGTTTGTCAGATGTATTTCTATGGTACAAAGGACATTTTTCGTACATTCAGGACATTTTTTTGAAATTATTGATTTTTTTGTAAAAAGACAAACCTTTACAGACTTCCTGAAAGTTGAAAAAAACTCTGACAAACCTCGAAAATCTGTCGGACCGAAACGAAATCTGTCAGACCGAATAAAATTGATCAAAATCAAAGAAAAACTTGTTTGTATTTCTAAAACTTTTTGGTTTTAATTTTTTCGCCGTAAAAATCAGCACATTCCGTACAGCGCATTTTCATCTCCTCCGTGTCATACACCAACAAATTCATGGTCCTGCTTCCATTTTTCATAAAATTTTGTCTCAGGTCTATTCTTTTCATCCTTTTGTTGCTGTTCTGCGCGCTCCTCTGACGTAGATTTTCTTTTTTTCCCAGGTTTGGCACCTTTAGCGACGCCATTTTGTATACATGCGGCTTGGATAAAAGCCGGACAGTCGGACCGATCCAGAATAAAAAATCGCCCGACCTGATCAAAATTTATCGGACATGTCCATTGGTCCGACGTATTTCAGGAAGTCTTGCTTTAGAATAAATTCAAATATGTTATGATGTATTTGATCAGTTACTAATGCTCAAGCTATTTGTACTAAATTAAAGTAAACATTAAAACAAACATGTTGAATCAGGTTAAATAGACTGTTAGGCATAAACATAATACTCTTGAGAATGGGGGAAGTACCCATAGATAGAAAGACAAACAGACAGACAGACATAGGTAAAAGCTAAAATATGTTGAGTTTGTTTTCAAAATCTGTCAGTGATGTAAAACATAATTTAGTGCTAAGATTCTAGAAAAATGAAATCATTGGAACATATCACAAATTTCTAAAAGTACTAAATGTTACAATGATATGTGAGCCGTGTCACGACAAAACCAACATAGTGCACTTGCGACCAGCATGGATCCAGACCAGCCTGCGCATCCTCGCAGTCTGATCAGAATCCATGCTGTTCTCTATAAGTTTATTTACTTGTAATAGGGTTGGTAAGCGGACAGCATGGATCCTGATCAGACTGCGCGGATGCGCAGGCTGGTCTGGATCCATGCTGGTCGCAAACACACATGTTGGTTTTGTCGTGACATGGTCATGTAATTGATATCTTTATTTCAGGGAAGAGCAGTCCAGACAGCAAAATCCCTTGATGAAGGTTTAAACATGGTGGTGAAGTTGCCGAATACACAAGTTGTGTCTATGGAGAACAATGGAAAACTTGTGCATTTGACAGGGGAACTTCAAACAGATCAGGTATTTCTACTTTTGAGATGTACAGAAATGAAACAACTATTTTGTTGATAATTTTGTCTCTGTGTTCTGGTTGAAATGCAAGTTGATATTTTCCATAATAAATCTCAAAAACTGGTAAGACAGTAGATTCAGGTTTTTTTCCTTTGCACAGGTTTTCTGCATCCCTGATGCAGGTTTTGGTCCCAGAGATTACTGTGAATGCGGTTGTACATAATCATGCTAAAAATGAAGTGCTTTAAAGTATAAACTACTGAAATGCTAATACCGTGTAATGGTAAGGTTATATTTAATCCTTTATCTGGTGGAACTCAAAGTGATTAGCCTTCGCCATCAGTAGTTTTGATCTGTCATTATAATGTGGTTTGTTTATTTTCAGTCATTGAATGACCCTGAGTACAGAGTGTCTGTTCATGCAGTGAAGTTAAACAGAGTGGTAGAGATGTACCAGTGGGAAGAACATGTAACAGAAAGGTCAGTTCAAGTGTTTTCTTATGTTACTACTAGGACTGTCCGAAACATTTACGTACAAGTTTGAATCATTATGAAAAATATAACAAACTTTTTGCATCATTTAGATCACAAATATCTAGCCACATGGAAAATTTTGTGGAAAATAATCATTACAAAACAAATAAATAAATACATGTTACATTTTTCTTTGTATATACAAATGTATTACGGTAAAGTTATGTAGAAAAGTATTCTAGCAGTTTAATGCTAGTATTATAATTACATGTATTCATATGTTTTGTCATTGTTATTGTTGTTGTTTTTAATGTTAAAGAAATTAGACACTGTTCTTGGATTGCAGTTCACTAACTTGCCAAATTTAAACATGATAAATACTTAGTGAAATAAATATGTATTTTATATTTGCAGGAAATATGATCAAGGAAATGGTGAAACAAGGGTGGAGAAAGAATATTCATACAGTATGCTCATTGTCTTTACATAACATTTTGTTTGTTTGAATGTAAACTCCAAAGCTATAGTCACTAGTATAGAGCCAGGCCAGCATGCACCTAACAGACACATAAAATCTTTTCAACCTCTTTACTATTGGAATACGAGCTTTCAATTCTTTTTTCATTACAAAATCCCTAATATTGCTTATGAAACATTTCAAAATGGAAACAGAACAAATCTGTTGCAGACATGCAACATTTGAAGATTTAATTATTAATTTGTAACAATGACATAAATTGTATGGGGCAGCACAATTTACATAACTAATGTTCCTTTATGTGCCAAAGTTACATAGCACATGTTCACTGTAAGTGATAACTGTCTTTTATTTTACATAGTTTATATAAACATTTTTAGAGGACTTATTTTGGTTCTGTGGTGCTGTCGGTATCCAAATTGCTCAACCGGTCAACCGGGCCGGTAAAGGGCTGCTTCCCCAAAGAAATTTTTTTTTTAATCATGCAGTTTTCCCCAAAAATTTAATATACATCAAGTTTTCCGTCCCCTTTTGCAAATATACCATGTTATCTTTCCCCAAAATTAAGGGCAGGGCTGCATCCCAAACCTATGAAAAAAGGCCCTGATCTGCACCCACTGGGCTTAAATGTTTCATGATAGGAAGGTAGGTGTTTCTGTCTAGGTATGTGTCTTCAGTAGAAATAATTGTAGCTAAGTGCTGCTGGGATCTTAATTAAAAGTGAAGGTGGAAATATAATTTATATATGACATCAACTGTTAATGATACTAATAAAATTATACATTTTGTCTGTCTTCGTTTCATCTAGAAAATGCATGAATATGTTTGCTATTTTACAGTGATAATATTTTACAGTTGTACAGTGGTACAATATTAGATTGATATATCTACCTGCATGTTTAAACAGGTCAGAAATGGTCATCTGTGGTTATAAGAAGTAACGGATTTGATGATTCTATCAACCACAGAAATCCAGGGTGAGTGACTTCATATGTTACACTCTTTAAAGGCCCATTATGCTCCAGAATGCTTTCATTATTATTTATAAAAATCTTTTTATTTTTGGTGTTCTTTTATAATTTCCAACAAGTTACTCATTTGACAATTACCTGAACTCTCTTCTTCTTCTGTTACTTTTTGGCAATTAGTACATTTATTGTGATTTTGTATTTTGTATGGAAGTCAAAATACTACTTTGTTTACATTTTGCTACTTTAATGACATATTATTTTACATTTAGAACGTACTATTCTTCAGGTAACAGTCATCTAACAATGCTCTAAAACCATTATTTAAATGTTATAAAACTCATGTTTGAGTGAATATTTATTCATTCCTGAGGCATAAAGTGCCTTTAAAGTAAAGGATTATTTGGTTTTCTTTTTCAAAATCAGACATAACCAGAATAACTAATCTTATACATATTACATGGTTGAATTCATTGAAATATTACAGTGTAGCTTCTGAATTCCGGAACTTGTAAAATCCAGAAACTTCTGAAATCCGAACATTTTTCAGGGTCCCGAAATTCCTCCTTCTGTTTTCTATGTATTAAATACCTCTGAATTCCGGAACTTCTAAATTCTGAATTCCGTAAAATTTGGGTGATATCAATTCAAATTTACTTCCAAAATCCGGAAATTGAGAAAGGTGTGAAAGAATATTATAATTGTGATTGTAAAATCTTCAAAATGTCAGATTGGAAGAAACCATGACTGAATCTTGACACCTATTACAATCACAACCTGTCAAGCATGTCAAACACTTGATTAAAGTGTGAAAAATAACATATGAGAAGTATTTTTTTTTATGAAATACCAAAAAGAAAAAAAAAATTGATGAAAAAAAAACAGTTTATTAATAGCTGGTACATCATGAAATTATACTTTTGTATCAACAAATTTCAGTTAAAGACGATAATGAAATTAAAAATACAATGTAGTGATAACTTTTTAAAAGTCATTTAATGCTGCCATTTTATGAATCTAATAACCTTCCTATATTTTTCATCATGTCTTAAACAATAGATGTTCAATGTTAACCTAATGTTTCTACTTGTTCAGATAATTCCAAACTTCTGAATTCCGGAAACTTCCAAATTCCGAACTTTTTGGTCAGTCCCACAGGTGATCGGTTTTCAGAAGTTACACTGTAGTAATAAACCTAAATTGTTTAGTATTTTCTGGTGGTTTTTTTTTCTTCTAAAATCTATGGAATAGTTTACAAGACTTTAGTTGTATGATATGATGATCATAGTTTATTAAGCTTTATGTTATAATATATCTATCTGAAATTTATAAACAGCAAAATTATCATGTTTCCATATTTTTATGGTTGATTCTAAAAAGAATTTGTAACAAAATTGCTGACATTTAACACAAAAGAATATTGTACAGAAACAGAATAAAATGTTCAGGAACAAAATAATATGCTACTATTTTTATAAAAACTGTCTCTCTAGCATGATGATTTTGTTCTTTTTTTCTTTTTAATGACTGATCTTTTAGTATTCATCACCATATTTCTACTGGGTGGCAAACCCAGTAAATGCTATTTTTTGTATATTTTGACCTTTTTTTAGTATTTAACAAGGGTCGTAAAGACTTTTGCAAGATGTAAGTTACTCTCTTGTCTACTTTCAAATACCGGTAGTATACTTTCATAATTTTCATGATAATTAGCATGAATCTGGAAGGACATATACAAATGCATTTCTCTTGTACAGGTGTTTTGAAAGTATTCTCTTTCACTATAGGCAGCAGATATATGGCTTTATACAATTAAACATACTTAAGTTGTTGATAATTTGTATTTATCCTTTGTGTATTTCTTTCAGATCAATGCCAGTGGAAAGCAGGTCGTATGTAGCTCCAAATGTCAATGTCGGTGAATTCATTCTTTCAGAAGGTAGGAATTTGTATGAGTATTATCATGTGAGAAAGAACCCAAAGAACATTTTGCCACATTAAACTCCCTGCTGTTTTTAGCAGCATATCACAGAGCTTGTACAAGCAGGGGTTCTTGAGTTCTTCCTTCTCCAGTAAAGCTGGAAAGTTACTATGACCTACATTGTTTTGGTATGACATTAAACCCAACAGAACAAAAAAAAGCAAAAAATAAATGTTATAATATTATTAGGTAGTTCAAAATATTAAATGTATTACAATAAGGCTATCTTTGAAAAACAATGCTGCTTTGTTCTTTTGCAAGTAGACCTACACATGTATAACTAAAGAAATAAATGATTACTTTGGTCATAATCTCATGAAAAGTGCTGGGGTATGAAGATGTTGATACTAGTGAGTGGTGTAAATACAAGCTAATTGTTTACAGATTACCCTATGAGTATTTTTTAACTGTCAGAGCGACTGCAAAAAAGTTTTAAATGGATCATTTATGTTTTTAAAAATGCAGTAAAGGAATAAGATTTGAAATATGAAAAGAAAATGTGAAAAATACAAAAAGTGTTTTATATAAGTGAACATTATGATATCAGCTGAGAAGTGTTTCAGAGTTTTGTATGTTTTGATGTAAAATTTTGACATTTCATTATAAAGTTCATTATAAAGTGATATAAAGTTTGACAGTTTATAAATGTAATGAAAGAGAAGACATTTAAGTGCTGTTTTGTATCTCAAAAAATGATAAATGTGAATTTGTTTGATGCAACCAATTGCTTACACTTTAAATGAATGACTTCATTTTGTTAATTCATATTAGTTTCACATGTATTTTTGACTATTGTTTCAGGGCTAAAGTCACGAATCAAGAATTTTCAGCAGTTACGGTTAGACCATCATCATGTGTCTGACAGACATGATGTTAAAGTATTTGATGGTATGATATATCACAGTTTGAACCCTTCATACCCACAGGTATGTGTCAGTAATAGATTAAACATTCTGTATAGTTACAGGTGGAGCATCCTGTTGTGTCATATGACTTACATCAAACATAATGTTTAAGAAATAGAGGATATTGAATGAGTTCAGTACTAAATTTATTGAACAAGTTCTAAATATCATATTATGCGAGCCTCTGGCAAGTAAAATATTTTATTCAACAAGTTCTATAAATATAGTATTGAAGGTACATGAATATGATATTATTGATCACATATCCAAAATAAAAACTGTTTATGTGAAAAAATAATCACATTTTAGTGACTTGCCTAAAGTGAAATGCTAACATTAAGCATGTCCTTACATTATGTTTTTATAATGCAAATGACAAAATGTCAAAATATATGCACGGTCATTCAATACTGTTTTTATGGAGTCGCAAAAGCAGTATGGGTTTATGATAAATAATAATTTTGGTTAGTATTGTCAGACTTTGAATGAAATGAAGTTTATGAACAAACAAAAAGAGAGAAATCTTCAGTTGCACGAGTGGTATAAATTTTCTTTTCCAACCATCCCATATTTTGGTGATAGACCATTATTATTTGTATATTTATTATTTTGATTCAGCAATACATCATCTTTATATCAGCTTTTTGTCCAATCACAGTGAATAAATTGCTTTGTAAATGTTACATAGGAGTAAATTACACCAGCATTATTTTATCATAATACAAGGTATAGGTTGGTTTACTGTATGTTTTTGATACAAATATTTGGTAAGATTATTGTGTACAAGTCTTACTCTGAAGCATGGAGGACCGCCTCCGTGGTTGAGGGGTTAGAGTCGATGACTTCTAATCCAGTTACCTCTCTGGCGTGGGTTCGATCCCCGGGAGATGCTTTGGTAGTTTAGCACGGAGGAAGTTAGTCTAGTACTGGTGTAACTCTCCAGGAACGATGGTTTGGAAATTTCCCGCCTATATGACTGAAATACTGTTGGGAAAAGGCGTAAAATCAAACAAACAAACAAACTGAAGCATGGATCATTAGATACCTATACAATGTATAAATGAATGAACTTCATGTTTACAGGTTGGAGATACTAGAATAAAGTTTGAGTATGCAGGAATTAGTGGGAAATCTCAAATTGGTCCACAAACTGTGGTAAATATATAGGTTTTGTCATGTCATAATGAATATTTATTTATATATTAAATCAGTTAAATAAATCATCTCCTGACATTTGATCTTTAAACAAACAAATTGGGATGTAGTCATTTACATATAACAGTAATCAGTTACTTTCAATTATATCATTATAATGTTCTTATATCATTATAATGTTCTATTTCATTTCACAGCTTTAGTTTAACAAAAAAGTAAAGCTTTCACTTACTGTGGTTTCTGGTCAGCAGGAAAATGTTTTCGGTTAGGTCACATTGTTCATATGGGGATACGGACAAAAGCCCCCCCCGGACGAAAGCCCCCCGTCTAAAAATGACAAGGTGGACAAAAAGCCCCCCCATGAAATTTACACATAGGACAAAAGCCCCCCCCCCCATAAAAAAGTAAAGGTAGGACAAAAGCCCCCTCTCCCATGGTCAATCAAATTTACATATAGTGTATTAAAGTTGTGTTTTTATGTGTTTAAAAGATATGTATGGACATCACATGTAGGTGACATAATGCTAAGGATATTAATTTGATCCCTTTACAAAAGTGATTAAACATTAATACTCTTCTGACCCTTGTTGTGTATATGAAAAGCTATGAATTCAGTATCGCATGCATGCATTATTTCATCTGTTATCATATACTTTGTTATCATTTCAATATATACATTATAAATAAACATTAAAACAAATTATTTTCATTTCTTATTTAAAAGTTTGTGTGAAATTTGATGAATTTGAGCACCTGTGCGTGTAAAAAAAGATGGGGGGGTGGGGGGTTTTGTCCTATCTGTATTTTTGATGGGGGGGCTTTTGTCCTATGTGTAAATTTCACTGGGGGGGGGGCTTTTGTCCACCTTGTCATTTTTAGACGGGGGGCTTTTGTCCTACACTCGTTCATATGATATGGCAAGTTTCTCCTCTTTACTAGTGATATTGAGTCCCCCCCGCCACTTAACACAATAGGGACAGTACGGCATTGATTAAGTAATCCATGGGTCACTAGTTTGATCCTTGAATGAGGTGTAATTTCTCTGTGACAGTTAGTCTCAGATATTGAGTAAAATGATTATTTGTCTCCCACCGCTGAATTAGATATCATGTTGGATAAGTAGTCAGTCACATGCAGGGAAGTAGTTATCTAGGAAAACAAGTTAGGTGGATCTTTTGCTTAGATATGATCAAAACATGTGTTAAAATCTGTGTTAGAAAAAAACCCCATAAAAACAAAAATTTAAAATGAGTAACAAAAAAATCATAAAAACAAACAAACTTGGAACAGAAGATTTCAGGTGTTGCTTTGTGCATTATTTCAGACACAAGTCAACCAAGAAGGAATAATAATATTCTGTCAACTGGTTCAATAGCTTTCTCATATATGAAAAATTTCAAAGTCTTTGACGAGATTATAGTTAGGATATGGCAGAGTCCAATGTGTAGTAATTTGATAAGAATTGAAAATAAATGTTGTTTGATATGCGAGATAAAAAGTCTTGTTATGTATTAACTAAAAGGACATTTGTATCATAAATTATTCAGCAAAAAATTAATACTCTACATTTTGCTGATGATTTTTAGGCATTTACTCTATAATTGTTATCAAATTATAATTTGTAATAAATGCATCTGTTATTGAAGAGTAAAATAATTTATTTCATGTTGAATCAACAATTGGTTAACACTGCTTGATATTAATATTATTTAGGTAAGCATAGTGGCCAGGCAGATTAATGCAAAGTTATTACCATACCAGACAATTGCAGGAGATACTCTTGAAATCTTGTATGAAGGAAGCTATTCTGCAAAGGTATGTAATAAGTAGAAATTGTGTAGAGTCTTAATTATTTTTATTAGCTTGATTTAAGATATGTGAGAGCTATCATATCTAGGTGTTAGCATCACACTTTGGATAATTTTTTGCGTTCAAGTTGGTACATTGTATCTCCAAAACTACTGAAGGAATGGGTTCAAAAATCAGACACTTATTTTAAAGCATAACAAGAGGTTACTGTATTAGTGAGATTTAATCTATATCTACACCAGGTGACATGAAAAAAATGACTGTTCTATCTTCCTACATAGTTGTCTGACCTAATACAAATGTAACTAGTTTTGAATTTCTTAATATTCTTTAAATTGATATGATCAAAAATTTAAGGGATAAATATTGAAATTCTAGTGCTGCTCTACAGTGTTTATACATCATTATTTTATGCTTATTTCTGCTAAATTTTCACAACAATCTTTATATTTGAAAAAGCAAGAGAAAAGTAACAAAAATACATTTAAAAAGAATACATTTTTTAACTACATGTATACAGTTAATAACCGGTAGTCAAGTATATCTATTTGAATGAATTGCAGGAGATATTTGGTAAAGAAAAGATGCAGAACTCTATATTTACCTGGGCCATTAGATTTGGCGGGTGGCTGCTCATGTTTATTGGATTTACATGTTTAACCAGTATAGTTACAACTCTAGGTAAGGCCATCACATTCATATCTTCTTTACCAACCTCATTTCGTTTTTGTTAAGTGACTGGTTTGTGTTTTTTACTTCACTTGACTGGTTACCTATTTTTCCAGATGAAAAGTGAAATGATTAAAGGGATACTCAGGCAAATAAATTACAAAATATTAAAATGATTATATGTACACAAATCATGCTAAAAATGGCATTTTTTTAAAGTCCCAGCATGATTTTCTGTATGATTTCTATATATTTTGAGTTTGAAGCGTGAATATATCTATATATGTTGAACGAAATTTAGACGCTGACACAATCACTGGTTTTAAAACAAGTCATATGACTCTGACAAACCCTTGAAGTTACAATACAGATATTGCAGATATTATATGATTGATACAAGTGTAAGTCATTCATTTGACATGTACTTTAACGTTTCCAGAGTTCACCGTGACAACTATTGTGAAATCTTAACGCTCTTACCTTACTCACAGGTGAACGTCGCGTGGCCATGAATTACACTATCCCCCGTCATAAGTATTGACAAAAATAAATTTTATGAAAAAAAAATTTTTATGACTCTAAAAATTATAAAGTCATAAGTTATAGAATCATAAAAAAAAAATTTCATAAAATTTATTTTTGTCAATACTTATGATGTTTGGATGATGTTTAAGGGTTTTGGGTTGTAGTGGGGGAACAGGGGTATAGTGTAAGTCATGGCCACGCGACGTTCACCTGTGACCTTACCCACGTTCATCAAGTTAAGAAACCACCAATTTTTTCTTTATAAGGAGAAAAGCTTTGTTCCTGTGACAGTCTAGTGTTTTAATTTTGGGGACATTTACAGATGAATGAAAAATTCAAACTAAGAAACGAAAATTTTGCCTGTGACTCCCTTTAAGATTTTTATTTTCAGTAATCAGTGGACTGGTTCTGTAGTGAATAAAACAAAAGTACAAATGTATAACTATAAAATAATTTGACTGGTTTATCTGGTTTTCTATTTTCAGTTGACTGGTTACCTATCATAAGAGATGTTATGGCAATGGGAGTGTGTTTAATGAACTTAAGTTTGTCTATCAGTCTGTCATTAACAATCATAGCTATAGGATGGATCTTCTACAGGCCACTGCTAGGGTTCTCAATTCTAGCCTTGGCTCTTACACCTTTTATTGTGTCTAAAGTAAAGAACAGTTCATCAAGAAGAATTGACTGATCTCAGGGTGAAAGATGTCACAAGAAAATTGTTCGATTTTATATCTAAAAATCAAAAGTATTGCTTCATTTTATAGAATTTTGTATTTTTCCAGCTCAAAGCTTTTTTCCTTTTTTTATTATTTTTTAACAGTTAGTAACTTTGAAATCCTTGATTTTTTATTTGTCTCATAATTATTGATAAAATCCCAGTGTGGTGTGTATTTTGGTAGATATGTTTTGTTTTTGGTTGTTGTTTTTTCTTCAGATTTTGAATAAATTTTTGTTTGTTTGTTTGTTTTGGGTTTTACGTCACATCGACACAGTATAGGTCATATCGCGACGTTCCAGCTTTACTGGTGGAGGAAGACCTCAGGTGCCCTTCCGTGCATTATTTCAGGCACGAACGGGTACCTGAGTAGAACCACCGACGTTCCGGAATAAATTTTGGAAATACATTTGTCATAAGACTGTAAAGGCTTTTTATAATAATTTTTTGTCTTATTTGGTTTCTTAAAAAGAGCAAATTTGCATCATTGTGATTAGGGCATTTCCTGTTAGCTCACAATATTTTAAAGATAAATAATAAATATTTGTGGAGTTTGTAAATATCATAATGTGAGGAATTGTTTACCTGAAATTTATTATCACCAATTCTTTCTCGTTTTGTTTATAAATTGAAAAAGTATTTATAATTGTGAATGTTATTGGTTCTAAGTATAATTTGCATAATATAATGTTATTTTATTAGTATAAGTTTCAAATATGACATTATGAAAACCAGACTGTGATACAGCTTTCTAGCTTCATGTACACTGATGTTGTTGAATTATTTCAAGCAATTGAGATGAAAATGTTCATTAACAAAGTGTTCAGAATTAAGATTTAGACAAGTGGAAATGTATACTGCCTTATAGTTTCTAGGTCTTTTATTGTGTAAGTTTGAGTGTTAAGTTTAAAAATATTTATTTCCAATGATATAAATGTATTTGTACATAGCTGTCCGGTTGGCACAATAGGTATTTGGACTGTAAATTGGGTTCGATTTCCAGATGGTGCAGATTACGTTCATTGTGATTGATCATGAAATCCTTTCTACAGTCATTTGCACTGTACCTCTGCTCTGGCTTGTAAAGAATTATCAGTTCCTTACAAAAGTGAAGGCGACTAGTACTAGTAAACAGCTTGACAGCCTGTCCAGAAAAGGTGCTGTGGCTGAACTGTGCTCTGGTAAATTCAATGTGGCTTACTGCTGTGATTCGCAGTAAACTACTAACACCACCACCACCATATTATAAATTATGAACATTCAAGCATTCAACAAACAATTTTTTTTACATAATAGTAAAAGTCCTTTGTAAGTCCAAATACAGTTTTCATTTGATTCTGGTTTGCTGAATTGTACATTGGCTTTTATCGTGTAGAGGCAAATACATTGTAATTATTTAGAAAATTTTTAATACTTGCATAAAAGTTCTATGTAAACATTATGAAATGTTTCATGTGAAGTATAATCCTGCTGTTTTAAATGGGGGTTTTAACCATTTAGCTATGATTTGTACATGCCTCATTGTTTTAATCAGATATTTTGGAATTATTCTTTTTTAACACTAGTTTTGTAAACTGCAGCAGCAGAATATGTATTGGTTTTATATACTTTATTGTAAATTACCAATACCAAAATAGAACTGTGCCAACATTTTTGTACATAAGACGGTCTTGGTGTTTCTTTTTTGGGAACAATGGTATCAGAGGTCTGAGACTCCCAAAGACATTTATATGAAATGTTATGTACAATGTGATCTAGTGTTTTTAGCTCACCTGTCACAAAGTGACAGGGTGAGCTTTTGTGATCGCTTTTCGTCCGGCGTCCGTCCGTCCGGCGTCCGTCGGTCCGTCCATAAACTTTTGCTTTAAATGACATCTCCTCATAAACCACTGAGCAAATTTCATCCAAACCTCACAGGAATGTTCCTTTGGTGGTCACCTTTAAAAATTGTTCAAAGAATTTAATTCCATGCAGAACTCTGGTTGCCATGGCAACCAAAAGAAAAATCTTTAAATATCTTCTTTTAAAAAACCATAAGAGCTATAGCTTAGATATTTGGCATGAAACATTTTCTAGTGAGTGTCTACCAACTTTGTTCAAATAAAAGCCCTGGGGTCAAAATTGGCCCCGCCCCAGAGGGGCATTGATTTTCCCTATATACATATAAAAACTTAAAAAATCTTCTCTTAAAGAACCCAAAGAGCTAGAGCTAAGATATTTGGCATGAAACATCTTCTAGTGAGTGTCTACCAAGTTTGTTCAAATAAAAGCCCTGGGGTCAAAATTGGCCCCGCCCCTGGGGGTCATTGATTTTCCCTATATGCATATAGTAAAAACTTAAAAAATCTTCTTTTAAAGTACCGTAAGAGCTAGAGCTTAGATATTTGGCATGAAACATCTTCTAGTAAATGTCTACCAAGTTTGTTCAAATAAAAGCCCTGGGGTCAAAATTGGCCCCGCCCCAGGGGGTCATTGATTTTCCCTATATGCATATAGTAAAAACTTAAAAAATCTTCTTTTAAAGAACCCAAAGAGCTAGAGCTAAGATATTAAGCATGAAACATCTTCTAGTGAGTGTCTACCAAGTTTGTTCAAATTAAAGCCCTGGGGTCAAAATTGGCCCCGCCCCGGGGGTCATTGATTTTCCCTATATGCATATAGTAAAAACTTAAAAAATTTTCTTTAAAAGAACCATAAGAGCTAGAGCTTAGATATTTGGCATGAAACATCTTCTAGTGAATGTCTACCAAGTTTGTTCAAATAAAAGCCCCGGGGTCAAAATTGACCCCGCCCCAGGGGGTCATAGGTTTTCCCTTATATGCATATAGTAAAAACTTAAAAAATCTTTTAAAGAACCCAAAGAGCTAGAGCTTAGATATTTGGCATGAAACATCTTCTAATGAGTGTCTACCAAGTTTGTTCAAATAAAAGCCCTGGGGTCAAAATTGGCCCCGCCCCAGGGGGTCATTGATTTTCCCTATATGCATATAGTAAAAACTTAAAAAATCTTCTTTTAAAGAACTCAAAGAGCTAGAGCTAAGATATTTAGCATGAAACATGTTCTAATGGGTGTCTACCAAGTATGTTCAAATAAAAGCCCTGGGGTCAAAACTGGCCCCGCCCGGGGGGGGGGTCATTGATTTTCCTTATATGTGTATAGCAAAAACTTAAAAATCTTCTTTGAAAAAACCCAAATAGCTAGAGTTTAGATATTAAGCATGAAACATCTTCTAGTGAGTGTCTACAAAGTTTGTTAAAATAAACGCCCGGGGGTCAAAACTGGCCCTGTCCCAGGGGTGTCATTGTTTTTAACTATATGTGTATAGTAAAAACTTTAAAAATCTTCTTTTAAAAAAGCCAATGAGCTAGAACTTAGATGTTTAGCATGAAACATCTTCTTATGGGTGTCTACCAAGTCTGTTCAAATAAACAAATAAAAGCCCTTGGGTAAAAATTGGCCCGGGGGGGGGGGGGGGGACTATATACAGGTGAGCGACCTCAGGGCCATCATGGCCCTCTTGTTTGTTGTTGTTGTTGTTTAAGGATGAAAATTTGTGATCTATAATAAAATGCCTTTAACTTACTGTATATGTGTATATTTTTGATGTGCTTCCATTTTGCATGTTCTAAGCTTTTGAAAGTTGATGCTATTATTATCTTTTCTTTAATAATTATGGTATTTATAAAGGTTCAACTTCTTGGCCATGTATTTGTTATATGTTTTAGCTATCTCTACACTAATTACAAGCAATTATAATTGTATCAAAATTTCAAAACAGTCTTAGCAATTAAGTTTAATATTTTGTCTAGCCTTTGGCAATGTGCCCAAATATCTGTTTTACTATCTGTCCACTATTTATAATGTATCAATTATTTTCTTTTTCAACATTTTATCAACAAATATTCATGTAAAAATATTGAAACTCTTGTTTGAACATATGTTGTAATAAAACAGTTCCAAAACATGTCATAAAATGTAGTAAAACTGTTTAAAAAACAAAGAATGTCTAAAAGAAAGAAATAAAGGCTAGAATTTTATGCAGCAAAATAAATCATGTTTTGAAATACTTGTACACTGTTTATTGTTGAGAAAGGTTAACTTACATATTGTAAGGTTTTGCTTTACGTTAATTGTTATTAAAAACTTAAAGTTCAATCACTATCAATCCCCTTTGGTAGTCATAACAAATCTGCTTACAAGTATGACAGCTTACATTATAGCACCTGATCTGGTACTCATTTACATCTGAGTGAAGTTAAGCAAAGTGGAGTCAATGTTTTTCTTAAGTCAGGGAAATAAAATGTAAGCAGGGATTCTTGTATTAAAATGAAGCTGCTTGTACTATAACTACGCACCTGTTTGGAATTGAAAATAATATGCTCTAAAAATAGATTGCTATAAATAGAATCAGCATAATAATATATAATTATAGATGTATGTATTTAACTTTTGGGGAGGGGCCATAGGCATTATGTTTCCTTTATCAGCATTACCCATTTGTAAATGTAGTGTTTATTTTGGTGTTAAATTAAAATGATCTTTGTTAATCATCTGTATATCTATTCAAAGGCCACTAGTAGTTGCTATGTTGTTAATTATTATTTAATATTTTATTATTCAAATAATTTAATACTTTCTACTTTGTTACTAATTTATATGTATATTTAACTTGAAATGATCGATATAGAAATAAATTAAATATATTCTTCGATGTGTCTTGCTGTCTTTGAGTTTGGTTAATTTTTGTGTCGCCTTGAAAAAGGCGACATATAGGGGTTACTTATGTCGGCGGTGTTGTTGGCGTACTCTGCACTTCTTTTTTTTTGGTCATTGTCCTTTGTTAATTTTCATACTTCTCATTTTTTTGTCCGGGCCATTTCTCATAAATGATAAGAGCTATAGACTTCCAACTTCATAGTATGATAGATCTCATTAAGAAGAAGTGCAGTGCACAAGAACTGGTACTCTGCACTTTTTATTTTTTGAGTTATTGCCCTTTGTTAATTTTCATACATGATTGTTGTCTGGGCCATTTCTCATAAACCATAAAAGCTATGGACTTGAAACTTCATGGGATAATAGATTTCATTAAGATAAAGTGCAATGTTGATGATTTTTTTGAGTTATTGCCCTTTGTTAATTTTTTCACTTTATTTTTGTCCGAGCCATTTCTCCTAAACTATAAAAGCTATGGACTTGAAACTTCATA